CTGGGCACTAGAGACACATCTGCACGCTTCGGCACTCCACAGCGAACGAGCCTGTGCAACTTGACTGTTATTCTGGTGGCTTTCCTGTACCTAGAATCTCATGGTGTAGGGAAAATAATGCCATATTACCAATTGGTGGATTAACTTATCAGTAGGTAGTTATTTTTTGTTCTATGAACATTTAACGACCTTTTTAAATAACAAATGGAAATATTGCAGTGGCAATATATTGAAAATTCCTATAATTCATAAGGAAGATTGTGGGACATATTATTGTATAGCTGAAAATGGAGTAGGACATGAAGCTAGACGTAATATTAGTGTTGAAGTTGAATTTGCACCTGTAATCACAATACCAAGACCACGACAAGCTTTACTACATGACATGGATTTAGAATGCCATATAGAAGCTTATCCTCCACTAGCTATTGTTTGGTTAAAAGGCGATGTTCAACTTTTACAACTACAGATCAATATATTGATACAACAATTAGAGTGATCACAATTGGAAAAAAATAATGTGGAGAATATGTATGCAAAGCTGCCAATAAATTGGGAACTGCAGAAACAAAGATCGAATTGTTTGGTATGTATTATGAATTTTATATATATATTTATACAAGTTTAGTAATATAAGTCATTTATGAAATGTTGCTTTTGTTTTTCCACTTGCAATTATATGTACACAGGGTATTTTGTTTAACTGAAAATAGTAGAATATTTCACAAGGAATTATCAAAAAAATATTTTAACTAAAGTTCTTTGGTTTGAAGACAGACATCATATGAAGTAAATTATTTTTTTGCAGATCGAACAGTGTGAGAGATTCTAAAGTTAACTTCATATTTTTAAATGGATATATATATATGTTGGAGATGAAAGGACACAGGAGCCTTGCCTTTGGAACTTTGGGAAAATCCCTTAACACTGTAATCTAAGAGATCTGCCCGAGCAGCCGAGCTAAACGGACGTGTAAAACAGTACTTCAGAGAAAGTGCGGCAAGTGGGGAAAACAAGTTGCGAACAACAACACCCATAGCCAAATGGTGGAAATTCGTGTCTTCTACTAAGAAGACTATCATTAAGTCTAAAATGCAACAACACATCCCACTGATAAAAATAATTAGTAAAGATGAAACATACTACATAAACAAGGCAACAAATATATCAAAACCAAGCCAGTCACTAAACGAAGAACAGGAGTGCTCAGTTACAAACGAAATTGAGATGGAACCAATACCGAATAACGAACTAACCCACCAGGATGAAAGCTGGAAGGTGGCAAGTTGCAACAAAAACCGAAAAATAACACCAAACACAAACGTTAAGAAAGCTATAGAAGCTATAGAAGAAAGCTATAGAAGAAAGCTATAGAAGAAAGACAACAATGGCTACAAGAAATTACACTCTGAAACTCCTTCAGCGCACTGCCAGAAGAGAAAGAAACAGACCCGGCCTGAAAACCAATAGTCCACATCGCCAAACCACTGCCAATTTACATTGAAGCCCAAATAATAGATCCCCTCATTGAACTACTTAACAACACGGCAGGAAAAGAAAATGACCAGAGTCTGGAGCATACGTGTGCCGTGGACTTGAAAAAGAGATACCCGAAGAGGAGCGCCAACTATTGGTGGAGCGATGAGCTTGCTACATTAAGGAGCGAAACTATAAGAGCTAGAAGAAGAGCTCAGCGAGCGATGGCGGCCCGCAAGGATGATGCCGAGGTCCTGGTGGCCGAATTCAAGGAGGCTAGGAGGCGACTGAAAAGGGCGATCGGACGTAGCAAGGAAGAGTGTTGGAGGGGGTTCTGCGCCACCTTAGATCAGGATCCATGGGGCAGGCCGTATCGTGTAGTGAGGAAGAAAATGATGCGGTCGGCTCCAATGGAGCCCCTTGGCAGGCAGGAACTGCGACCGCCTACACAGGAAGAGACATCGATCCTACCTGGCGAAGAAGGAGGGTTAAGCATCGAGGAAGTAGACATGAGGGTGGCCGTTGGGAAATGATGGCCCAGGGAGGCGGCTGGAGTGGATGGGATTCCTGGCACTGTAGTGAGGTTATTGGCGGAGCAAAGACCTAGCGTGCTCCTGACAGTGCTCAACGGAATAAATATCTATAGATAAATACCGGCGGTGTGGAAAGAGGCTCTGGTGGAACTAATACCCAAGCCTGGAAAAGATCCTGCGACGTCATCGGCGTATAGGCCGATTAGCATACACGCTGAAAATGCTCATCAAGAGGAGCGTTGGTCAGGATCCCTTCCATAGAGACCAGTATGGCTTCAGGAAAAGGAGGGGGACTCTTGAAGCCCTAGATAGAACGGTCGCAGTTGCTGAAAAGTGCAGAAGGAAGGGCTTGGTGTGTGTTCTGTTCACCCTCGATGTGAAGAACGGCTTCAACATTCTAAGGTGGGAGAGGATAATGGAGGAGGTTCGAAGGAGACTGCTACCAGGACGGCTACAGGAGTTGTTAGCGGACTATCTGGCTGAGAGGAGAATACTGTGGCGGTTCGGTATCAACAGGACGCCGACAGGTCGAGGCATCAACCTCCCGGGCGATCCGCGGGTACCAACCGTCAACACCAGAGAGCTACGACGACAACGAGTCTGTCTATCTCGCTAGCGGTCGAACTCCCTAGCGAGACTCCCTCTACGTCTAAGGCAGGGACTACCGGGCATAGCCTTACTGACAAGTCCACCGGTAGTCCCGAAACGCAAACTGTCTTTTCATCCGCGACAATACTGGTACATTGTCGTGACGGTGTCGTAAGGAAGAACATCTACGCGGGGGTTCCGCAGGGGTCGGACTTAGGACCGTTACTGTGGAATCTCGTGTATGACGGGGATCTGGCGGTTCTGCTCAAGGTTAGAGGGTCCCACGGCATCAATGAGAAGATAAAGGCGGTCATAGCCTTGGCCACCAGGTGGTGCTGCGAGGCTGGATTGCACCTGGCCAGGGAGAAGACGGAAGTTATCCACTTAACAAGGAATTTTTGGGCGCCATACGGAGTCTACTCCCAAACGTCGGCGGGCCCAACGATTTAGTCAGGAGACTGTATTATGGCGTCTGGGAGTCTGTAGTTCTATATGGTGCACCGATATGGGCCTCCTCCCTGGGAAGAGAAACAGTCACGGGGACTTTAATAGTAAGCCCAAGATATTCCGACTGAGTGAGATAGACACTGAGGTAGACGCCTTAAGGTAGATGGTAATTTAACGAACACCTGTTTAACGAAGCCAGTATGAGTTCTATACTCGAGGAATGGCGCGGTCGGCCTCAAGCCGAGCCCTTGCACGCTCAGACTACTTGGGAAGAGAAACACTCCGCAGGGAGGACTTGCTTATGTAAGTCTATGGGGACTGGCAAACCCACGTTCCCGCAGCCAGGGAGGATCGTCGGGACAAGCGTCCTCTATGTACATCGCAAGGAAGGTCGCCGGGAGTGTAGGCAAGAGGCTCGTCTATGCTCTCTCTACGTGGCCTTGGGTAGTAGCGCACCCGCGATCCTGATGCCAAGGATAGGACCGTCGGGATAAGTTCCCGGGTACTTTGTACCTTGAGGCCCCCGCTTACGTGAGTCCTATCTGGATCTGTCGAGTACGGTTAGCAGGTCGCCGGCCGGCAGTGACGTGCCGGTACATCCACACGGTAGTCCCACCAATGACATAAGATGGTACCACGGGCGGTCGAGTGTAAGCCCGGAGGGAGTAGCGACCCATCATCTGCTCGGCCAATTGTGGGTTTGGACAAGAGTCCAAACCAAGAGGTGGCAGTGGTTGATGGCCAAGATACTGGCAAGAAGGCCGATTTAAGGGGTAATGGCTCGCCCCGAATGGCCTTTGGCGGGTGAACAGCGTCCCACCTGCTCCAGAACCGTCCTGGTGAGACGGCAGGGCTTAGAATCGCCCCGTTCGACCTGTAACGAACGAAGGCTCCTGCAGGCTTAGCTAATCAAGGTAGCAAGGCACAAGGTGCCTTGCGCGCTGGTTGGGCGTATCCCAACCCCTATGGCCCTAGGAGTGCCCGGGTACTGTGTGGCGATAAGTTGACGCCGAGGAAAGCACCCGTTAACAAAGACTGACAATACTTGGGAAGCGAAACATAGGACAGGCCTACACTTTTGAAACAACTCGAGAGCGGTCAAATATAGATATAACCCTAACGAGTTCAGAGGCAACACCGCTCGTGCGAGAATGGAGAGTTCAAGAGGACGAAACCTCCAGCGACCACAGAGTCCTGGAGACGCACCTGGTTTTCGGGATAAGAAGTACCGAACAGCAGCTTCAGAAGAAATGATACGATACACGACTGGGAGGTATTCCAAAGAGTTGTCATAGAGGAGAGAGACACTCCGAGGGACCACCCTCCAGCAAGCTGAAGACGTAGAACGAATGGCCGAACAAATGCAGGCGGTCCTCATAAGAGCCTGCGACGCGGTCATTCCTAAGAAGAAATGGCATTACAGATCGGTACCATGGTGGACGCCCGAGTTCACCCGAGCAAAGAGGAACACCTATCGAGCAAGAAGAAGGTATCAGGGGGCTAAGGACCCCGCAACGAGGGAAGAAGAGAAGCTGCGGTACAAGGAAATTAGGAAAGAGTACACGAGAGCCAAGATCCAGAGCTGGCAGGAGTTTGTTACAAAAGAGGATAATAAAGAACCCTGGGGAATTGCATACTGAACGGTCACGGGTAAACTTAGAGTAAACGGAGAGAAGAGGCAGTATCGATCCTGCGGACGCCACAAGGAGATACCTCCAACTGGCGAACGACCCTGGCGGCAATGCTGTCCGCCCTCTTACCCGACGATCAAGAAGAAATGGACACGCCGGAGCAGACAGAGATCACCCCTCCAAATGAAGAAGACACCTCAGAGTTCCGGTTCGAAGAACTCGGCGGCACTGTGAAACGACTGAAGAGGGGCAAATGTCCTGGCCCCGACTTGATCGAAGCGGAGATAATACAACGTGCCTGGGGGGGAGGGGGATTCACCAAGAACTCCTCTGGCTCATGAATGGCTGCCTCACCTGGGGAGTCTTCCCAAGAAAGAATATGGAAAGTGGGGAACGTCATTACCATCCCGAAAGGACCAGATCGGGACAGAAGTAGTCCGAAGTCCCACAGACCGATTTGCCTACTATCTATGGTGGGCAAATTGCTGGAAAGGAAGATGGTTACAAGGATGGCGACCATTTTTTACACGCACGAGACGTCCTCGAACCGTCAATACGGCTTTCGCCCCGGAAGATCGACGGTGGACGCGATCATTAAATTCAGAGAAACAGTCGAGCAAATGAGTGACAAGAAGTACGTCCTTGCTATAGCACTTGACATATCAGGAGTTTTCGACAACGTCTGGTGGCCGAACGTAATGCACGAGCTGAAGAGAAGAGGCTGCCCCAACAACTTGTATCGGTTGACGAGGAGCTACTTCTCGGATAGAACCGTGCAAATCACCGGGAAAAACGAAATAGTCATCAAACCCGTCACGAAAGGATGCCCGCAGGGATCGGTACTGGGTCCAAGTTTCTGCAACCTAGTATTCGATGACCTGCTGGCTGAACTAACGATAAGCGCGATAGAA